GAGCAGGGAGCCCGATGCGGGGCTCGATCCCAGGACCCCGGGATCATGACCTGAGCCGAAGGCAGGTGCTCAACGACTGAGCCACCCAGGCGCCCCAGCAGGAACTGCTTTTAAGGAGAGTCCCACGAGAGCAGCAGTATTCATGTATGTAAGCCTGAGCAGTTCCTTTTAGTGATGAACATTTCACCCCCAGGAAGAGTTGTTAACCGGAGAAGGTGCTAGAGCACTTGCGGTTATGGGGTAGTGATTCTTCTCAGTGTAACTGTGGCATCTGCAGGACTGCCAGATTGTCAGGTGCCGGATGAAGGGACAGGTTGAAAAGAGAATGTGATGCAGTGTGTGTGCTCATGCAGTAATTAGAACCAGTTTAGCTTATGATGTGTTACCAAGTATTCTAACTTCTACCAAGTCCATCTTACTTCCTGCCTCGTACATCCTTTTAACAAAAATAAATTATATTCTGGTTACTGACTAGTTTTTCAGCAGTGTATACTATTTTTTATGGAAACCTGTAATGCTGCTCTCTGGCAAAATTAAGTGGGTTCTATTTCTGATTTTGATCACATGATTTTTACTTAATTTCCCCGTCGTTTATAGCATACGTGCTAGCACACATGTAGTGAAGGGCCACAAGGCTTTGACCATTCTTGCTTCATGGGTAACAGAGAGTATGATCTACACGGCTTTCATTGAATCATTATGAAATAAATGAGAAATGGCTCAGAATGGTCATTTTTATCTTACAAAGCTAGATAATAAGCATTAGATATACATATTTAAATCTTGCTTTTATAAAAGTAGTTTAAAAAGATACATTACTTGATGCTTTCCTTAGTTGATCTCATAGTGGTTTCCATAATATACCTTGAACCATGTTTCAGTATGTTCATTTGAACTGAAAAATGAAATTGGACCTTTTGTGGGGAAGAAGCGCCGTCCTGACATACAGACTGCCCATGCTGTGTGGGCTCTGTGGCACGGTTCCCCCTAAGCTGCAGCTCAAAGTGCTGTAGTTGTGATGAAATGACATTTAAAGCACACGAGCATTTGCTTGTGCTCTCTCTGACGAATGAATAAAATCTTAAAAAAAAAATCCTCAAAAAAAAAAAAAATAAATAATTTTTTTAATTGGCAAAAAGGTATGAGCTCCATGTCTGAGTCTAGCAATGAGTAGTACTGACCCACAGCCCCACGAGCCTCCTGGAAAACAGGCAGTCCCACTGTTCTCCATGCATTCTCCGTACAGTGTTGCTTTTGATATTTCATTATTATCAAAGTTTCTAATAGGTTTTGTTATTCTGGTTGGGTTTGCATTACTAATAATTGCAACAGTAACTTGATTTTTCACATGAAGATTTCAACCCCTAGAAAAGATATTTTTTAAAACTAGAATTTTAATTTATGTACATGTTTTTATCACAGGGAAATATGTAGGGTAATAAAAGACTTCAAAGCATAACAACACATTCAGGTAAAGAGCCAGAGTTGAGCGGAGTAGCGTGCATGTTCAGGGAGAATAGCAAGTGACGTGGAGTTTCTTACTGTTAAAGAAGAGTGAGCGGATCCCGGGCCCTAGCCCCTCACCTTGCTTGCTCACCCTAGTCCTAGCCCTGGTCTGCTGTCCCGAAGCTGCAGAGCGCTGGGGAGAAGCATGGACGACAGCCAGAGCTAATCCAGCAGGAGGGGCCTGGGGTCCCTGAGGCAGAGAAGCTGGCAGACGTACTCAAAGCTATAATGGAACTACGTTTCCCTGCAGTGAAGGGGACACCGAATGTGCTCCCTGGAAAACCGAGACTTGTCGCCGAGGTGAACAACCCCTCAGGCGCCCAGGAAGGAAGTAGCAGGCTGTGGCCTGGCACCGCGGCTTACAGCGCCCCCCAGAGCGGAGTCTGTTAAGTGCCGAGGGTTAAGGAGCCGTGACCCTAGGGTTTCATGGCAGCCAGGCTGTCCGGTGCGTGCTGCGGCCGCGGACAGCCCTGCGTGTGAGTGCTCTCGGGCACGCGGGAGACGCCGCGAGGGCAATGGGCAGGAGCAAGCGGGCAGCGGCGCGGGGCGCACACGGAGCACAGCGCACAGCTCGGGAGCGGGGACCTCTAGGCCGGTGTTGGCATCAAGACCGAAGGTGAACTTGCTGTAACAGAGGTGGCTCGTCCTGTGTGTCAGAACCAACCATTCCTGCTTAAAATGGAAACTTCGAGTACAAAAACCTACACAAAGAATGCAGCCTCTCTTTTCCCTTTAACGTTAGGTCATTAGATATTTTCACGAAGACGTATTTTCTAGAAGTTCAGCACATCCTTCAGTTTCACTTGTTCCTTTTCATTTTATTCAACAAAAATCAAATGCTTTTATTCAACAAAAATCAAATGCTTTTATTCTCGTCAACTTGTATAATGTTCACTGTAAAATTGTCTTTATGAAGTCATTCACGTATGCATCTCCCGGGCTTTCTGGACACAGCTGTCACAGCACCTGAAATTCCCTGGCACTTACTAGGACCCAGGCACTGTTCTAAACTTGCGTCACATATCTACTTAATCCTTCCAAAACTTTGAGGTAGGGAGTATTGTTCCCATTTCACGGGGAGGGAACACTGAGACCAGAACTTAGATTGCTTGTCCAGGGTCAGGTAGCAGAGTCAGGGGTGGAGACAGGATTTGAATCCAGGCCACTGGTCTTTGGGATTTCGTGCTGCTCACAAACCATGTGACTGTCAGAGAAACCCTTTCTGGGTGTCCGGATTGTTTGTTTCTTCTTTGTACTTCGTTATTTTAGAAAGCATATTTTTATGAAATCAACGAAGCGATGACTTTTGAAGAGGAAGCTGGACAGAAAACAACCTGAAGGATTTGGCAGCTTATTTAAGCACACGCCGAGGGGCCCAAGGGTGGGATGTGTTGGCCGGTTTCCTTCCCTTGTTCCTTTTCTACGATTGTGCAGCTCTGCCTGGTAGTTGTGCTCCATGGTGTTGGGGATCTCCTGTGTGCCTCCCATTCTTGGGGTTGCAGGGTAAGGAGGAGCCTCTGCCCCCGTGAAATGGGCACCCGGGGTCTGATCGCTGAATGTCCAGAAGACACGTAGGTAAGTTTGCTACGCTTTCTAATCAAAATCTTGTTTTTTTCCACCTCTTAAGCCCGTGACTCTCCCTGTTGACTAGTTTGAAGTCTGCAGGGCTGTACACAGTGACGGTGGGGAGGCTGTGTCCCGAGTGTGGCCTCGGTGAGGCACGGTACACGGCATGTGTTGGTTTGTCTGTTTCATCGCAGGAGCCTCGGGGTCCGCTCAGAGGACAATGAAAGATGGCAAGGTCAGTCCTACTCACTTCCACACAAGCCAGACTGGCTGGTTGTGTGGGAACCTTGTGGTGCCCAGCGGAGGTCTGCCAGGACCAGCTCCGGCGGCCGGCGTGCAGTGCGTTCAGGTCCAGCTACTGCAGGTAAGAGCCAGCAAGCCCAAAGGACGCTGGTCATGGGGCGGGAGCTGGGGGCTAGGCTTCGGGCCGCGTCTCCCTGAGCCTTCACCCCTCCAGTACTCTTCCTCTTGGGAACTGCCCCCCAACCTGCTTCTGACCATCCCAAGTCCGGGATGATGTCTCTGTCACCCCAGCTCCTTCCTTCCTCCCACCCTGTCCCGCTCTATTTGTCCGAGCTTTCGTCTTTACTAGGATTGATGCTTCCGTGTCCCCATGCCCCCTGTGTCTGGTGCCCCGTGAAGTGAAGGTGCCGGGCCCCGCTCCGGCCTCAGGCTGTTCAGGCTGCCCACGGTGAGCCACGGGATGCCTCTCACGGCCCCGCCCCTCCCCAGACCCCAGGGCTCGTTTCAGGGCAGGGGTGAAGGGGTTTGCTCACACGGCTTGGCAGTCCTGTGTCTGGGGAGCGCTCGCAGTGCAGCCGAGGATATAGCCTTTACGTGTTAAAGATGCTGGCTCCCCCCGCCCTTCTTCCCCACAAGATGAGCCCCTCGCAGGCAGGCCAGCCACCTCCTAGACTGTTCCCTGGGGCTCAGCAGATGCGTGCAGCTGGCAGCCACTCCCTGAGCTCGCTCACCAGACACATTGACCACAGCTCTGTGTGTGCCTTTGTTTGCAGTCTCATTTTTGAGGGGCCGGAAGAGGGACAATAAATTGGGACTGTTTGGGGAGAGAAGAGGTGTAGAAACTGAGGATATGTAGCTCTGACCTGGCCTGATCACATGTCACCTCTTCCCTGAGCATCTCCTGGGGCCATAGTGTACCATGTACGTGGGAAGGCACAGAGATACCCGAGGACTTCTGAGTGCCGAACTGACTCCGAAGAGGAGGGTGGCCAGATCCTTGGGGTCTGCAGTGCTGGGAGAGCCTCATCGAGGAGACAGGACCGAGCTGGCTGTGAAGTCTGAAAGGGGTGGGGAGGGCCTGGGTAGAAGGGCTTAGGGAGGGCCAGGAAGATGGGCCCAGTGAGCAGCCTTGCTCTTACAGAAAACAAGAAGCTAATGTGAGCATTTGGTGGGGGTGGGACCTAGGGAGACTGGTCTGCAGAGGTGAGCAGGAAAGCAGGTCTCTTCTTTCCAGGTGTGGGGCCAGGGGGTTGGAGCAGTAAAGAGGTCAGGGCTCTCCCAAGATGGGGGCTTGTGGAGGTGGGAGTAGGGGCAGCAGAGCCCTTCTGAACGTGGTCACAGCCGGCAGGCGAGACGTGGGGAAGGCAGGACTGGAGGTTCTAACACGGGCACGTCAAGGAAGCTGGTACCCGTGCAGAAAAGGTGCTCATCGGAAGGGGAGAACCTGCTATTTAAGAGACACCTAATTGAAGGCGTGAACTTTGAGGTGGAGAAAACTCACTTTTAATTCTCCACCTTTCCCTGACCAGTTAGTATTGTCTTGGGCAAGTTACTTAAGTACTTTGGGCCTCAGTTTTATTGTCTCTGAAGTGGGAATGATAGTGCTCAGCACAGAAGCTTCTTGAGGCTGGGGAAGGGCTGGGTGATGCTGATGCCGGCCGTGGCACCGGGAGGCGGGTGGCAGCTGTGACCGCCGCGGGCTGGGCATGCAGATGAAAGCTGAAGTGTTCGATGGTGTCCCTTTTCTTACTTGCATGATTATCAGGGGCCTAGGAGCCTCCCCCTCTCCAGAGACCTGTGATCTCTTGTCCCTTCCAGCTTGACCAGGGGTTGGGGCAGAGGTGGGCCTTCTCGTGCACCGTGAGGTGGCCACTGGAGAGCCAGAGGGCCCTCAACGAGGGCACCGGGAGCCTCCGCCAGAGTTCAGGAACAGCCTACAGGAGGGAAATCGGGGCCTAGGCTGAGGGGAGGTATTGTATTGCGTGTGGGGGAGTTCGAGGGAAAGGGCCTGGGAGTGGGGAGCAGCCAGATGGCAGGTGGTGTGGGCCTCAAGCTGGGAACAAAGTGAGAGACTGAGGACCAGGAGGAGGGGTAAACAGCCCCCAGCCCCTGATTCCAGTGACTGCTGGGTCCTCATGCCTCACCTGGCTCCCCGCGAGGCCTCGCCTGGAATCCAGAGGGTGTGTTTCAGAGTAACGAGCACTCCTCAGGCCAAGGTGAGGAATGTTGCTGTGCTTGGTAAATGAAACATGCCATTGCCTCCCCAGGACGACCCCTCAGGTGAAGCAGCCTCGCCATTGGTTCTCAGCCCGCAGCCTTCTGCCCTTCACCCCGTGTTCGCTGTTGATTTGCCCGTCTATGTCCTCCAGGTCTGGACGCCTTACAGCTCTTTGGGTTTGTTAGTAGGACTGTCATGATGCTTTTGGCTTTCTGAGGCTTGTCACTGAGGTGGGGCTCAAGTGGAGACTCATTGGGTTGGTTGCCAGGATGTTTTGCTGCTTTCTAGAAAAGGTTTTGGGTAAATGACCCAGAAATAAAAGACCAAGAATAAAGCTCAGATTTGCTCCCCATTGTAGCTCCTACTTATGAATCAGGTGAAATTTAATACACTCTTCAAATATTTTATATTTAGAAATTCTAGCCACGGGACACCTGGGTGGTTCAGTCAGTTAAGTGTCTGCCTTCAGCTCAGGTCGTGATCTCAGGGTCCTGGGCTTGAGTCCCACATCGGGCTCCCTGCTCAGTGAGGAGCCTGCTTCTTCCTCTCCCTCTGCCACTTCCCCCTGCTTGTGCTGTCTGACAAATAAGCAAAATCTTTAAAAAATAAAATAAAATGCTCTTTGAAATATATATAAAAAAAATTCTAGTCACTTCCTCCTGTGGGTAATAGGCTGGCCAGTTTTTGTTTTTAAAGCTTTATTTATTTGGGGCACGAGGCAGGGGCAGAGGGAGAGGGAGAGGCAGAGAAACCCAAGAAGACTCTGCACTGATTGCAGAGCCCGACACGGGGCTCAGTCTCACAACCCTGAGATCAGACCTGAGTCAAAACCAAGAGTCGGCGCCCCTAGGCCAGCCAAGTTTTTAACCTATGGGAAAACAGACCCAGGAAATTTAGTTTGCTTAAGTAAGCAGATAAACCAAATATAGGTGGCAATGGGTAATTTAGATTTGGCTATAAAATAATAAAGTAGGTAGCTTATCAAATTTCTAACAGTTCAGCCTTGAATATATTTTTTTTAAATCCCTACACATAGTAATTTTAGTTTTCTTGTATTCAAATTAGGCTGTTCAACGTTTTCCTTAAAACGTCAAAAATAAATATCAAGTAAAGTGCTGGTAGACAGAGGGGTGGGTGGGGCTCACAGATGGCTGGAGCGGGGGCTCCTTCAAATGCAGTTTGGGAACGTGCATTCAGAAAACCTCACGGATGTCGACTCCATTCTGCCTGGTATTCCCACTCATGAGATCGTTCTTAAAGAAATCTGGTAGTGTACAAATAACTGGCCAAAAAGTGTTCGCCATCGCCTTGAATCTAATGCTGTGGGGGTGTTCTTCTAGCAGAAGGAGGTGGCTTAGGTGGGCGGGGGCGTAGCCGCTGATGCTGCCCACAGGCGGTCAGGAACTGGGAGAGGCGCTTCCTCATACCAAACGGGGAAAGGGTTATGAATTAAACAAGGACAGTCACATTTCTGAGGAGACCTGCAACACAGTATCATTAAGTTCACTTTGCCTTCTTTTTGTTTATAGGAAAGTTTCTTTCTTCAAGGAACATATGTGAAAATAAGGGGAAAACAAGTTCGCTTTAGGAAAGTGAGAGGTGCCCTGCGGGTTTTGATGCTGGTGTGTGCGGCCGCGGTGCTGCCTTCTGGGAGGTGGTCCTGCGCCGCCCGAGCCCCCAGCTCTGCCGCTCACGACTCTGCTTGGTTTTTCAGGAGGTGCTTCCTACAGCTGGAGGGGCTGCCGGGCCGGAGGAGGTGCAGTGTGCAGGGAGCACCATCAATCTTCGGGACCTGCAGTGACAGCGACCCTCTGCCCCGGGGACAGTCTGTGGCCCCCGGACTCTGTTTCGTGGTCTTATAGGCCTGGGGGGAACCCCACTGGGTTTAAGCTCAGGAGGCTAGCTGAGTTCCTCAGAGACTTTTGGGCATGTTTCTCAAAAATGTTTTTCTTACACTTTATCAGGAACCAGTTTGGGGCAGCATTCGTTGAAATCGCCTTACACGAACGTGAGGCAAGGACTGCCCTCAGGGCAAAGGCACAGGCCTTTTCCGGACTTGGCGGTGCGCAGACATCCCTTGTCCCGTTTGATCTAAGCCATGGAGCCCCTGCTGTATTAGAAAAACAGACTTAGGCAGGAAGTAGGATAGAGTATGGATTCCTTAGTCAAATAGGACTTCAACTGTAGTAAAAGCAAATGGGATCTTTCACCTTCCGTGTTTTAGCGTTTGGCCTGAGAGAGATCTAGAAACTGTTTCCCCTTTCTGAGAGCTGTTTCCCAGCCCCTTGGGTGGTGGTTGTGGTTGGGCTGATTCTGTCACCCCATAGGGCAGAAGTGATCCTGTTGTCATAGTGAAGCCAAATTCGAATCCCTGTTTTGGCAGAGCAGGCGGGCAGCTCGTATGAGGGGAAGGAGATGGGAGTGCAGAGGGGGACACTGGGGCCCTGGTAGCGAGCCCTCCACAGAGAGGCCAAATTTGAAGCTCCTAATTTGGGGATGCTAGAGGTAAAACTTTACATTTTTCTAACTTCTGCATTTGGGCGTTCATGTTTAATAATAATTTGTCCAGGTTCTACAGTCAGGGCCTGAGTACTCTGCACTACGTGTAGGACAGTGAGAGTGGCTTGTACATGCTCGTCGTGGCCGCAGACGTGCAGGTACTGTGTCACCGTGTATTTTCGCAGAGCACGGTCAGTCCTGCACAGGAGGCGAGCGGAGAACCTCGCACGTGTTTGTTTGTTGGCGAGACTGGCCACATGGTCACTCAGAAATGCTGTTGTTCGCCTTGTGCCTTTGAGGCTTACGTTGATTCAGATGCTGTTTTGGTTCTTGGACTTGGAATTGTCCAAACTCTGCCTGTTCTGTGTTTCTTCATTTCTTGAGTTTTTGGCCTTGGGCTTTTGGAAATGACCCCAGCATTCGGTGGTGAGTCCTCTCTCTTTCCTGCTCTGAGGTGCTGTCTGTCCAGGGTGCTTCTCTACCCAGAGGAACTCGGTCCCCATTTATAAAGTTTTTACCCACAGAACTCTGTGCTGCATCACAGACTAAAGTTTTGTGTCCACCTGGCCCCTCCGCCTCCAGGTCTCCCAGCCTCCCTACACCAGGAGCCAGTCCGCCTGCCAGGGTGACCGTGGGGGCCGGGTGGCCTGGTGGCCACACTGCACTGTCCTGATGGGAGGAGGGGCCGGGCCAGGGAACGATCTCTCCGGGGTGGGTCGCTGGAACTTTCCTCGGAACGTCCCCTGGGAATGTCCACCACCATGATGTGATTGGTACTGGCTGTCAGTTTTCTGGGCACTGGGTTCCCTGGTGGCGTGGGCCCAACTTGTAGTACAAATGAATAAAAGTTTTTGTATAGTCATGTGCTGATGGTGTCGCTTGGCTTTACTTCACGGAAGTGTGTGTAGTGTGGGCGTCATGTTTTGTTTTCAGTCAGTAGTGAGAACTCTCTCATCCGCCTATAACTTGCTGCCTCCTTTTCTTGTGGAATTGGCCTTCGTGTCTCAAAGCAGCCACCTTACCTGAGGGCCAGGATGGCCTCCTTCCTCGAGCATGGGCTTGGGGTTCAGGGATTAGAGGGCAGGGTGTGGATTTTGGAACCAGCCTGCTTCCTTAAACAGGCCATCGGGCCACCAATGAGGGGGAGTTTATTTCACGCGAGTACGGAAATGTACAGTGGGAGGCCGGGAGGGGCATGGGGACATGGTGACAGCCGCCACGGGCCAGCTCACCCGGCCCCTGCTTCCTGCTGTTGTCCTCGGCGCCGGAAGCCTAGGTGAAGAACAGCAGCTCCTCCTCCTTGTCCTTGTCTACCACCACGTGCTCAGGCTCCTCCTTTGCTTTGAGAGCTGGGGGCCGGGAGCGACTCACCAGTCTCCTGCCCCTCTGCAGAGCAAGCGGACTCTGTGAGCTGTGCCTGGAAGCTGGTGAGCTTGGGCTGTGGGGCCCCGGGGACGTCCCGGCCTCCCCTGTCAGCCCGCGGGCTCAGGGCTGGAGCTGCCCTGAAATGACTCGGGAGGGAGTCTCCCCAGCATTTCCAGAGCCTGTTCCCTGGGCTGTGGGCCCCTAGATGGATGTGTGTTGTGGGGCACAGCTGGAAACACGGGGAAGTACCTGGCTAAACAGAGGGAGCCCACTTCCTTCGCTCCAGGGATTTAAGGGGAGACCCTACAGTGTGTGCCGTCCCCGTGGGACGGCGTGGAGAGCGCTGCTCTATTCAGAGAGCAGCCCCGCAGCCTAATCTGTCTGCCAGGGGCTGTATCCAGGCTCGGGCCTGCTTCAGGGAGCACACCTCCTGCTGCCAAGGCCAGAAGGAAGTGACTGTTCTAGCCTGTTCCGTGGGGGGGCGGTCAGGGGGAGCCCTAGTGATGGGTGATGAGCCGGAGTGATGGGGTCTGGCTGGGGTGTCAGTGGTATGGTGGGACCCTGCGGGGGCTGAGCTGCACCCTGCGGGGGCTGGGAGGATGCTAGCCAGGTCAGTCACCCACTGGGAGTGCGTGTGCAGGAGGGCAGGCAGCCCCAGGGGAGGACCAGCAGAGGAAGCAGGTCCTGAGGGGCAACAGGGCTGGCGGGCCAGGAACAGGAGACTCTGCTCTATCCTGGCCTTACTCGGATGGCCCCATCTTTCTTTCCCCCAGCACCTCAGCAATTAGCACCTGCAAGGGGGGTGAGCCGGGCTTGGCTGCAGGCCCCCAGCCCCTCCCAGCCCCACTGTGCCTGGTCATGGGGCCCTTCCCCAGCCAGTGACTCCCCGGGGCCACCCTGCCCACCTTCTTCTTGATCTCAGCCTGGGCCCGGGCCTGGGCCCGCTGCAGACGCTCCTCCTGCAGCCGCTTCTGCATCAAGACCTTCTCTTCCCGGAGTCTGGGTGCCAGGGGTATCACAAGACGGATTAAAGACTGGAGGCACCTGGGGAAGCTCCCAGTTCCCCTTCCCAGTTCCTCATGTGCAGCCATCAGGCCATGGCCCTCCCTGTAGGAGAAAACTCCCCTCTCCTCTCCACCCTTCCCTGCCAGGCCAGGTTGGCTTCTGCTCTTGTTCTTGGGGGTTCCCGGCTCAGCTCCATCAGCTCCTACCCCTTGGAGGCCCACATTCCTTGGTTCCCATCCCTGGTCACTGGTCGCCCTGTGTGTCTTCTGGTCATCAAACCTTTGCCCAGTACCTGCTCCCACCCAGGTGTAGGACAGGCGACACAGAGGAAGAGCCCCTGTGCTTGTGGGAGAGGCAAATGGCTCTTTGCAGATGTCTCAGGGCCCTGCATGGAGTGAACCGGGCAGCCCCCAGGTCAGAGGAGCCAGTGGGTCTGTGGGGAGCTCCCTGGGCCTCCCCTAGGAGGATGGGTCCATGCTGCCTGTGTCCAGCATTCTGACACTGCCAAGTGTTCCTGCCTGCCCCTGCCACGAAACTGGGCTTCCTCAGCTTCTCCCCGAGTCTGCATCGTCCCTCCCCTGGGCTCTGGCGGTGCCAGTCTCTCCCTCTCCAATCCAGCAGGGAAAATGGCCATCGATGTCCCTTGTCCTTGGGGTGAGGCCATGCTGTCTCACCCTCACTTTGGCTCCTGGGCTCCCTGAGTCCACATCATCCCTCCCTCCAGGAGAGGGGCTGCCCTCCCTGGGGCTAAGTTTGGTGCCCTCTCTGGAAGACCTCTGGCTTTGTCTCAGCATGGAGCACCAGGGTCCTGTCTTCCTTGGTTTGGGAGCTCTTTGAGGACAGGTCTGTGTCTGACCTCGTCCTCGGGGCCAGCCTGGGCCAGCCCCGAGCAGGAGCAGGGCTGTGGAGGGCGTCCTCGCCCTCAGGGCCCTCCCTACTGCGTAAGGCGTGAGGCGCCCGTTGGACCACGCGGGGTGGGGCAGGGGCCTGGGCTCTCACCTCATGCGGCGCTCCTTCTCCTTGGCCTTCTCGGCCTCCTCGATCTTGATCTGGGGTACGCGCTCCAGGTTCTCAAGCAGCTCATGCAGGTGGTGCTCAATGACGGTCAGCATGTGCACGGTGCCCAGGTTGGACTCCTGCTGGGTGCCGATGCAGTGCTGGTACACATCCAGCACCTTGCGGTTCAGGCTTTCCAGCAGCTTGTCCTGCGAGGGGGGCAGGCCGGCAGAGGGGTCACATGGGCCTCTGGCCGCACCCAGTGCCCTTGCCATGATGTGGCTGACCTCCCGGAACCCTGCCCAACACACTCAGCAAGCATGGGAAAAGCAGCTTGGACACTTGGATTTTTCTTGGCCAGAGCTGCCCTTGCCCTCCTGTGGTCAGCCAGACCCAGGGTTCCAGCCACCACTGGGGCTCTACCCCAGCTGCCTTGGTGTGTCCATGGGGCCCAGTCACCTCCTCCGGGGCCCTGTTCTGCCCCTGCACTGACCTCAGCTCCCCACAGGACCCTGTCCTGTGAGCTACTTTCTGTGCGGCCCAGGGCAGATGAACTCCCCTCTCTGAGCCTGTTCTGACATTCAGAAAGCTAACACCCCCTACCACATGGAGTGGGCATGAGGATTGCATGAGGAACAGCAGACAGACAGGCTCAGGCCAGGAGTGGGGCACAGCCAGCGCCCAGTGAGTCTGTCTGTCTGACAGGCGGCGGGCGCGCCGGCCTGCGTGTTGTGGCGTCCTGCGTACCTGGCCCGGCCTGGCACACAGTAGGTGCTCAACAGTAGTTTGAATGAATTAGGAAGCTGGGACCGTACCTATGGCCCCGAGGGCACTGTCAGGAAGGGTGCGCACTGCACCCTGGAACATTCCTGGCCCTCTGTGCCCTCAGAATTCTCTCACTCTTTCAGGCTGTCTTGGGGACATGCCTTTTCCTCCTGGCAGGGTCACCTTCAGACACTTTGTGTTGAAGAAACAGACGTATTTGTTGAATGAAAGAAGGAAGGAAAGGAGGAGGTGTGCTGGGCAGCTGAACGGCCAAGGGGCATAAATACACAGGGTGGCTCCAGTTTGGGGACCAAGGGCCTTCTCCAGCCAGTGCCCTTCAGTCAGGCCTACAGAGCCTGGAAGGTGGTAAGGGGCACTGGGTGCTTCCACATGTGCTCTTATCACCCTCACTCCCTCCATGCCCGCTGCCCACTGGCTGCTGATTGGGGGCCTACCTCCTGAGCGCCCTTGTACTCGCCGAAGTGGAAGACTCGGGCTTTGAGCTCCAGCTCGGCAGCCATCTCCTCCTCCTTGGTGATGGACATCATCAGTGTGGTGACCCACTGCTTCAGCTGGTTGACCTCCCTGTCCCTGGATGGGGGACGGGCAGGGCCCTGCCCACTCAGTGCAGCTCTGGGCACTTCACCTCTCTGAGCCTTACTGCCCCGCCACTGTCCTGAGGGCTAAGGGGCCGTGACTGCAAAGTGTCTGCGTGCCCAGGGGCCAGAGATGCTCCTGAGATGCAGGACTAAGATTTAAGATCTTTAAAAATCAACACTACAAAAAAATAAGTAACAGCTTTATTGAGGTATAATTCACACACCTATAAAGTTCTTTTAAAATGCACAATTCAGGGGGCACCTGGGTGACTCAGTCCGTTAAGCATCAGACTCTTGATTTTGGCTCAGGTCATGACTCAGGGTCATAAGATCAAGCCCTGCATCGGGCTCCACGCTCAGTGCGGAGTCTGCTTGGGATTCTCTCCCTCTCCCTCTGCCCCTCCCCCTGCTCGTGTGCTCTTTCTCTCTTAAATAAATAAGTAAAAAAAAAAAAAGTACAGTTCAGTAGTTGTCAGGATATTTACACAAATACACAACCATCGCTATCATCTCGTTTTAGAATATTTTCATCATCCAGAGAAACCCGGTCCCCATTAGTAGTCACTCCCCATCCTTCCCTTTCCCCCCATTGTGTGTCTCTCCTGGACATTTCATAATTGTGGAGCCATACAGTGGTGGCCTTTGTGTCTGGCTCCTTCATTCTGCAGAATGTTTTCAAGGTCCGTCCATGTTACGGCAGGTGTCAGAACTCCATGCTTTTTTAGGACTGTGTGACAGTCCCCTGTGTTGATGGACCATACTTTGTCGAAATGGACAAAGTGGACAAAAATGGTCGATCCTACCTTTTGACTCTTGGGAATTATGCTGCTGTGAACATTCATAGACAGGTTTCTGTGAGGACATGTTTTCAGTTTTCTTGGACATAATATTTATTTTTTAAAAGATTTTATTCAGTTTTCTTGGACATATATTTATTTTTTAAAAGATTTTATTTCTTAGCACACAAGCGGGGGGGACGGGCAGAGGGAGAGGGAGAAGCAGGCTCCCCACTGAGCAGGGAGCCCGATGAGGGACTCGATCCCAGGACCTTGGGATCATGACCTGAGCTGAAGGCAGCTGCTTAACCAACTGAGCCACCCAGGCGCCCTTGGGCATATATTTAGAAATAGAATTCCAACAACCAACTTTTAAGTGAAATAATAAACTTGAAAATAATACTAAATAAAAATCTTTCACAATAATGGCAGACACTGACCATCATCTGTTGGGATTTCCCGAGCAGGAATCCCTGTTCTTAGGGCTGGCATGTGTCCACCCAGTGTGGGCAGCTACATCTGGTCACTCCACTTGGGAGGCCCAGAGGGGCCCTGCCACCCCCATGGTGATTCTGTGGCTCTTCCTGCATTTGTTGCTAGAACGCACTGACATTTTCCCAACCCTAAGCAAAGCACCATGGGCTGCTGCTCCTTTGTCCACTGTGGGTCCCATGGCCTGTCACGTGCACAGGGGTGCAGGCCACCCCCCCCTCCAGGAACCCTCCAGGCTACACTCCCCTGGCTTTGGGGTGGAGGGCCGAGACCAGAAGCTTGTGAATATGATGGGGGCTGAGGTGGGTGGCCAGAGAGACCACATGCAGCTCACACACAGCCCACCTGCCCAGGTGCTGGTGGGGCTCATGCAGGTCACCTGGGATGACAGCAGAGAGCACTTCCTGGGTGTCAGGACCAACTTCCCTCGAACCACATGTGCCCATTGTAGGGGCAGGTACGTTTAGGGTCAGTGGTACTCATCCTAAAGGATACATGATTGCATTCAGTTTTAACCTTTTTTTTTTTTTTAATACTTCCTTCACTTTCATTCCCTTAGCTGGTAAGTGTGATCCTACAGCTGGTGCAGTGCTGCTTTGCTTTTGCCCTCCTTTGCTATATGGATGTGGTGGTGCTGGTGGTGGTGGAGGGCTTTCGTTGTTGTTCTATTTCTTATCAGGGTAACTGGGGTAAAAAGATACCCTTTCCCTACTAGTTCTCTTTAGATGTAAAATTGTTGGGTCACAATATTTTCTCCTCAACTAGATCTCGTCAATTTACGGGAATGCAAAATCATGAGGGACATATTGCTCAGCATTGATCCTCAGGCTAGCCTGCATATCACCTGTGTGTTTGTCAGAAATGCGGATTCTAGGGGGTATTCCAGTGCACACAGAGTCTAAGGAGCACTTCAGTGCTGGAAAAGTGACGTGGTTTCTTCAACAACTGGACTGCAGGAGGACAACAAGATGGAGAGGAAACCTATAGAGCAAAAAGGATTTAACAACACAACCAATTGCAGAGCATGATCTAATTTGGATTCTAATTCAAACTAAGTTTAAAAACTCCAATCACTTATGGATTATGGATATTTAATATTAAGGATTACTGGTTTTTCTAAATGTGATAATGGTATTGTGATTATGTTAAAGAATCCCTATCTTTTTAGAGATATCGACTGGCATATTTACAGATGAAATGATACCTGCCTGGAATTTGCTTTGAAATAACATGGAAGATGGAGAATTTGGTGGGGTCTAGGTAAAAGGAGATTGGCTATGAGTTGATCACTGCTGAAGCTGGTGATGGGACCTGGGGACTCATGATACTATTCTCTCTACTTTTGTACATTTATATGTATGAAATTTTCTTAGAGCTGTTGGGCTGAATTGCAGAAGTTATAACAAGTTTTTGAAAGGTAACAAGATGATTCCTTCATAAATACCTGGGGACATATAGCCAGAAAGCTTACTAGACTGGTATTAAAAAAAAAAGGCAAACACCACCAAATAGGAATAAAGATCATTCAAAAGACCAAGTAAAAGAGAAAGAGTTACCATATTCCTGCAGAAATAGCAGCAAAAAGAACAAAAATTAAAAATTTTGACATAGAGAAAGATGGCAGAGTAGGAGCACCATGCATCTGTCTCCCCCACTAGATAATGATTGCACTGGCAGAACCTGTCTGATACAGCCATTTTAGAACTCTGGAGTCTATTGAAAGCTTGCAATTTCCAGGGGGAAGGCTTGGACAGTAATTGTGGTTAATTTCCACCCATTTTAGCTCTAAGCATAGTAACACTTACCCAGCCATCACTCCCAGCCATGTGGCAGGCAGCTGTTCAGATTTTCTGGAGCAACTAGCACACAGCCTGTTGAACTAGGGTGGGCAAAAAAGGACCTTGTCCTCCAAATGTTGGAGATCTGATCCCTGATTGGTGCTTCTGACCACAGGGGTACAGACAAATAGGCAGGTGGCCATTGTTTCATCTCCCCTCACTGTTGCAAGCCACCTCCTCTCCTCACCCCCACTTGACTTCCAGGGGATTTAAAGGGCCAGTGCTTTTTCCTCCCTTCATTTTTTGCTTTTTCCCCCTTGGAGAGCCAGACCTTAAAGACCAAGGACATGCAAAAACAACAACATATGGGAAGAATTAGTGACCATGCATGCCCAAGGAAAGTCTCAGAAAAGACCTAAGTTTACACTGCAGGATGATTCTCAACACAGAGACAGGCCATAAGATTCATATAAACAAAGACAATACACAATGGAGTAGAAAAATGAAAAATTCACTAAAGGGATTCAAAGGCTGATCTGAGCCGGGAGAAGAAAGGATCAGTGATCTTGAAGATAGGACAATGGAAACTATCAAGGCTGAAGAACAGAAAGAAAAAGATTGAAAATAGTGAACAGGCCCTAAGGAATTAGTGGGACATCATAAGAAGACTAATATATGCATCATAGGAGTCCCAGAAGGAGAAGAGAAAAGGGGGCAGAGAGAAGATTTGAAGAATAATAAATGAAAGTTCCAAAATTGGATGAAAGACATGAATATAAACATCCAAGAAGCTCAGGGAACTCCAAGTAAGAGGAAATCAAAGAGCCCCACACTGAAACATTATTATAATCAAACTATCACAGGATAATCAAAAGCCAAAGCCAGAGTATTTTAAAAGCTGCAAGAGAGAAGCAAATCATTACATACAGAGGATCTTCAATAAGATTATCAGCAGATTTCTCATTACAAACTTTGGTGGTCAGAAGACAGTGGGCTGATATAGTCAAAGTGCTCAGAGAAAAAAACTGTTAACCAAGAATTCTGTATCTGGCAAAACTGTCCTTTAAAAGTGAGGGAGAAGATAAGACATTCCCTGATGGCTGGGTGTAATACTGTACCATTTTATCATGTGTAACCACCACTATAGTCAAGATACAGAACTATTTCATCACCAGAAAGTTCTCCATCATGCTGTCCTTTTATAATTAACATTTAGCCTTCTATGGACACCCTTCCCCTCCAATCCCTAAGCCCTGGCAATCACTAATCTCTTTTTCAGCTCTATAATTTTATCATTTTAAATGGAATCATATAGGTAATGACTTTTGGGGATTCCCCCCAACTCAGCATAACTTCCTGGAGATCCATCCAAGTTGTTGTATGTAGCAGTTCCTTTTTATTAAGGAATTGTATTCCCTGGTATTTATGTACCACAGTTTCTGCAGCTATCCACCCATTGTAGGGCATTTTGATTATTTCCAGTTTTTGGCTATTATGAATAAAGCTTCTATGAACCAAAAAAGTAAAAAATAAAAAAGACATTCCCCGATGAACAAAAGTGAAGGAGTTTGTTCTATGAGACCTGCCCTGCCAGAAATGCTCAGGGGAGTCCTGCACAGTGAAATGAAAGGAAATCAGACAGTAACTTAAAGCCCTATGACAGAGTAAAAATCTCAATAAAGGTATAATATGAGCAATTTTAAAAGCTAGTAAAAATGTATCACTGGTTTGTAACTGTACTCGTTTTCTACATGATTTAAGAGACTAATACATTTAAAAGAATTTTTAGTTTATGTTTTAGGGCACACAGTGTATGGAGACCTAAGTTTGTGACATCAGCAACCAAACGGATGAAGATAGAACTGTAAGGGAGCAGAGTTATTAAAGTTAAGGTGGTATAGATTCAAATTTGAGTGTTAACAACTTTAGGATATTAAATATAATCCCCATGGTAACCACAAAGAAAACAGCTATAGAATATACACAAAAGGAAATGAGAGAGGAATTTAAACATTTCACTACAAACAATCAACTAAACACAAAGAAAACAGTATTGCAGGATATGAGGGACAAAAACTATAAGGCATACACTAAACAAAAAGTACAATGACAGAAGTCCTACCATATCATTAATTACTTTAAATGTAAATAGGCTAAACTCTCCAATCAAAAGACTGAGACTGGCAGAATGGATAACACATGATTCAACTATATGCTGTCTACAAGAGCCTCACTTGAGATCCAAAGACGCAAATGGGTTGAAAGTGAAAGGATGGGGAAAGATATTCCATGCAAATAGTAACCAAAAGAGAGAGCAAGGGTAGCAATACTAGGATCAGACAGAAAAATTTACCAGAGACAAAGAAGGACACCTTATATATTAATAAATGTCCAATACAACAAGAAAATATAACAATTATAAACATTTATGCACCTAATGATGGATTACCAAAATATATGAAGCCAAAACTTACAGATGGAAGGGAGAACTAATTCTGTAATAATAGTTAGAGACTTCAATATCCCCCTTGCAATAGTGGAAGACAGCAGACAGAAGATTAGGAAACAGAAGATACCTTAAGCATTGCAATACACCAACTAGATGTAATAGACACACACAGAAAACTCTACCCAACAACAGAAGCATACACTCTCAAGTGCAAATGGGGCATTTTTCAGGATGTCCCAAATATTAGGGCCACAAACTAAGTTTCAATAGATTTAAAAAAGATAGATATTATACAAACTTCTCTGTCAACAACTGGATGAAGTTAGGAATTGTTAGCAAAACTGGAAAATTTCACAAAGTTGTAGAAATTAAAGAACACATTTTTTTAAAGATCTTATTTATTTATTTGACAGAGAGACATAGCAAGAGAGGGAACACAAGCAGGGGGAGTGGGAGAGGGAGAAGCAGGCTTCCCACGGAGCAGGGAGCCCAATGCAGGGCTCGATCCCAGGACCCTGGGATCATGACCTGAGCCGAAGGCAGATGCTTAATGACTGAGCCACTCAGGCACCCCTAAAGAACACATTTTTAAACAACCAATGGACCGAAGAAGAAATCATAAGGGAAATTAGAAAAAAATAGAGATGAAGAAAACTGAGAACACAACAGAGCAAAACTTATGGGACAAGTGGAGAATTTACGACAATAAAACTTACATTTAAAAAAGAGACCTCAAATTAACAACCCAACTTTACAACTTAAGGAATTTCTAGAAAAAGAACAAATTCAACCCGAAGCTAGTGGAAGGAAGGAATTAATAAAAAATTAGAGGAGTAAAACAAAATAGAGAATAGAAAACAGTTTTTCAAAAAGATCAATAAAATTGACAAACCCTTAGCTTAATGGACTAAGAAAAAAAAAACAAAACAGAAGTTACTAAAATGACTACTGATCCTACAGAAATAAGAAGGATTAGGAGAGACTACTATCAACTGTGTGCCTCCAAACTGGACAACCTGGATAAAACTGACAAATTCCAAGAATCACAAAATCTACCAAGACTAAATCATGTAGGGGTGCCTGGGTGGCTCAGTCGGTTAAGTGTCTGCCTTCAGCTCAGGTCATGGTCCCAGGGTCCTGGGATTGAATCCCATATCCGGCTCCCTGCTCAGCGGAGAGTCTGCTTCTCCCTCTCCCACTTCCCCTCCTCCCTAGTTCATGCTCTCTCTCTCTCTCTCTCACTC